ATTCGCTTCGCTGTTTTTCCAGGACTCGGGCGTTCAACCTGCTGCAGCTGTTTGATTTCGTCACGGTCCAGCTCAGCAAGCACTACGCCAGGAGGGCGTGCGACGTGGCCAACGGCCGGCAGCGGGCGGCACCAGCCAAGAAACGGGCACTGTGACGCAGGTATTTTGCATGACACGAGAACTGATTAAGGTCACATAAGACAGCTCGTTTTCCAATGCTGGTCCCACCCGTACTGCCACATGGCTGTGCAAAGTGACCAATGCAATCGGCGCACCCCTAAGCACCAATAAACCACATGGCTGTGCATTCACACACAAGAGTCTGTCACTGTACCGCTGTGCCACTGTAGGGCCGCGTGGTGTTGGCGCTGTGTGCCACATCTCGTGACTCGTTTCGCGTTTTTTCTTGTTTCTTCTTTTTTCCCTTTGGGGGTCTGTTTTAAAAGGCCAAGCTGACAGTACTGGGGCGAATGAACAGGTTCGGATTTTCGTACAAGTAACCGTCCGTCAGTTTATGTTGTACAGTCTGTCTTAAAAGTCCGCGAAAAAGCAACGGTGGATCCATCAAGCCTGACCGAGGAAGGGCCTGCTCAATTTGAGTCATCAAAACAATTGATATTCTCGTCCATTCCCCAGGTCAATTGGTTCGGTGACTTTCAAAGTAAAGCAGGCCTTTCTTCAGTAAGGCTTGATGGATCCACCGTCACTTTGCGCGGTACTTTTAAGACAGACTGTACATACGAATTTTACAGGATTTTATGTGTTGCCCCTCCCACAGGTGACGGAGTTCACCTATCAGGTGAAGTCGCTGACGTCGGTCGGCATCACCTACCTGGTGGACCTGAACGTCGGCGCCTGCACCTGCAGGATGAACCGGCGGACTGGCGGCTGCAAACACCTCCGAGCCGTGCGGCAGCAGACTGGCGCTGTGCCGGAGGCGACGGCGACAAAGGAGACGCGGAGGGCCTTGATGGACATCGCCATGGGGACCAGCCAGCAGCTGCCAGGCAACTGGTTCGACCCTCTGGTCGCCGAGCCGTCCACCTCGTCACCTCCTGGCCCCACGCCCGCCAGCGCCCCGGGAGTCGCGCAGCCCCAGCCGTCGCCGAGTCCCGAGGAGTACGACGACGACGCAATGGACTTCGAGGACCCCGCCGCTGCGGCGGCGGCTGTCAGTGGAGCTGAGCAGCGACGCTCAGATGACCGGACGCGCCAAACCATGGCGTTCATCCAGGAGTGGGCAGCCTTCATGTGCGAGGCAGTCGTCCAGGACGACACCTGGGAGAGGGCTGCCGCTGCCTTCCAGCAGAGGTGGGGCCAGCTGCCCACTGCTGGCCGCCAGTCCGCTCTGCACCAGTTTGGGGGTGCGCAGGGCTGCCGGCGGAACGCCACCCAGATTCCGGTCCAGCCGACCAGCACTGCCCGTCGCACCAGCACCAACGTGCGGGGGCGCGCTCGCTGGCCCGCTGGACGGCCGTGCCGCTCCGCGCGCACCGGGGAGCACGGCTACGTGGCAGCCTCCGCCAGGCGGTCGGCGGCGCCCCACAGCCTGGCCACCTGTGTTGACCAGAACCGCCCCCTGGGGCGCTGAGTGGTAGAGGTGAAGTGGGGGAGACCGGGGTAAGTTGGTGCCAGGGGGGGGGGGGGGTAAGTTGGGACGGAAGGGATATTTCCAATCAGGGGTGTAACTTTTGCTTTTGAGATGGGGGTGCACTTGGTGATGGGGGCGACCTTCAGTGAGGATAGGGGCGCTTCCAAGGAGCATACATGGTGCATATCTCTCAACAGGCGCGCACACAGGATTTTTTAACGGGGGGGGGGGGCACGACCTGCAAACTGGGGCCCTCCATGCCGAAGGACCACAGACCCCAGCCAAAAAAGCTCCCCAACGTGATTATATTTCGGTCGACTTGAAACTTAGCTTCTGTCGATACATGATAAAACAATTACTTCAGTTCCCGTTCAATTTTCAAAGCATTAAATGCTCCATTTTTGTTTACGCAGCATGTTTCATTCAAATACGATCCAGTGAGTCGTTATCACCATTTTAATGTCTCTCAATTTCGGTAAAGTGCTTCTTTAAATGCTAAAATAAAATGTTTGTTGGTATATTTCGAAATTCAGACTTAAGAATGATCACTATTTTGTGTTCCTCCAATTTAGTTTGAACACAGTCTGATGCTGCAAATGGGATTGCAGTTCATTTATATTAACCCAAGGCCCTCTATCCGGCGCACCGATAAACGGGTGTCAAGGCTTCTACTTATAGGTACAAGAACTTTTCAAATAAAATGAATATTTTTCATGTGCAATTTTAATTGTAAGAGCACTAAACACCCCAATGTTAGAGTCCAATGGTACAAAATTGGGTATTACAAAATGACATTAAATTCGTTTACACGAATATCAATCAATCAAATTTATAACGAAATTGCATTTAGCTTTTTCATTCCGAAATTTTATAGAATCGGGGTGCCCTTTTTACGCTCGGCGACTGGTGACACCCACTTTTGCTGGAATCACCTTTTTTATTGGGCGCCTTTCTTCTGCTGCGGTCGCCTCTCTCTTGCTGAGGTCACCCCTCTTCTGCTCGGCGGGACTTGCTTCTGATGGGCGCTCCTCCTCTGCTGGGGTCTCACACTTTTCTGCTGGAGACTGACACTTCCCTTCCCGGGTATGCCCTATTTTTCTAGAGGCGTCCCTCTTCTGCCGGGCGAGCCCAACTTCTGCTTAAGTCGCTCGACCTTTTCTACTGAGGGCGCCCTTCTTACTCGGCGAGCCCAACTGCCGCTTGAGGTGTCCCATTTTTATTGTATGCGCCCCCTTCTGCGGGTAGCGCCCCTCTTTTGCGGGGCTGCCCCTCTTCTGCTGGAGGCGCCCTCGCCCATCTTCTGGTGGCGGCGCCCCTCTTCTGGTGAAACCGCCCCTCTTCTGCGGGTGCGTACTCTTCTGCTGAAGGTGCTCGGCAATGTCTGTTGGGGGCATTGCTCTTTTGCTGGGGAGCCCCTGTTCTGCTGGGGATGCCCCACTTCCGTCGGGGCCGCTGGGGACGCCCCGCCTCTGCTGGGGGCGCCCCCGGCCCCACTGCTGCTGGACGAACCCAACTTTTGCTCCAGGTGCCCCTTTTGTATTGGGGCGCCTCTATTCTCTAGGCATCCCTCTCCTGGTAGGGCGCCCCTTTCTGCTGGGGCGGCCCTATGCTGGGGGTACTCTTCTGCTGGGGGCGCCCCACTACTACTGGACGAGCCCAACTTTTGCTTGAGTAGCCCCATTTATATTGGAGTGCCTCTCTTCTTCTGGAAGCATCCCTCTTCTGGTGGGGCGCCCCCTTTCTGCTGGGTGGCCATTCCTGTGTTGAGGGCGCTCCTTTTCTGCTGGAGGCATCTCTCTTCTGGTTGGGCGCCCCCTTTCTGCTGGGGTGCCCTTCTTCTGGCAGGGCGCCCCTCTGCTGGTGAGGCGCCCCTTTCTGCTGGGGTCGCCCGTGTTCTACTGAGGGCGCTCTTCTACTGGGCGAATCCAAGTTCTGCTTGCGGGCCTCATTCATTCCTACTAGGGGCGCCTCTCCTCCGCTGGGGCGCCAGTCTTATGCTTGACGATCCCAACCTACGTTGGAGGTGCCCCACTTCTGCCTCGGGCGCTCCACTTTTGCTGAGAAAGTCCCGTTCTTGCCGGGGTGTTCCTTTCACCCATTTTTGGGGGGACAATACGACTGGACGCTTTCCAAGCCCGCAGGCAGCACGACGCCGGTCACGAGACGGAATGTAGCCGGGATATCACCCTCACCATCTGCTGCTCAAGAGCTTATCGGTGTCGGGCAGCGTGTGGGGCGCCGCTTAGCCTATGGGGGTGCACTTTGACGAGATGGGGGTGCACTTTCAGGGGATGGGGGTGCACCTGCACCCCCATACATATAGAAAGTTACACCGCTGTTTCCAATACTTCTCGACAGTTGGCGTTCAAACTTATTTTGTACATGCACAGTAACGCCGTCTGTTTGTCAACGTGGTGTCGGCGCGTGCTGAGGTAAGTACTGTTAATAATCGCTACAAATGTGTTTCAGGTACCAAAAGTGATTTTCTTGCTGTGAAAATATTCTCTTCTAGTGTCGTTGTGTGTGCCTTTTTGTTTGCCGCAGGAGTACTGCAAACGTTTGTGTTTTGTCGTTAATGCCCGCATGGATTAGCGATGATTGTTCATGTGAAACATGAATAAAAATGTGTTTAGATAAACTGTTTTTCCTAGTGTACCAACTTGCCTTAGGCCCTGGCCCAACTGACCCCCCGCCGCGGGGTAAGTTGGGACATTGGAGGATGGCCGCTTTGATCAGATATGACACCAAGACGATGCTACCATCTCTCTTATATTAAGTCTTCTTTAAAAGATAAAGAAATCAGATCTCAGTTAATAGCCAACAAATAATGATGTATAGTTATACCGAAGTTATGACGCTTCAAGCAATAACTGGCTCAACTAGCGTTAGCGGAATGACGCAAAATTAGCAGGTGACCAGTGACCACTCCCAGTTCGCTAATATGTTTGCATCATTAACATACCTTCCACTATAAGCACGGTTTCTCAATCTTAACATAAAATATAACATCTTTTTTCATGTAATTTGCATCTCTAATATACCCCAGTCAAACTTGCATCACTAATGTAGTGGGGGACTTCTTGGGACGAATTAGTTTCTAGGGACTTACACATTTATGCTCATTTCCCCACATTTGTCGCCAGGGGGAGAATTCCCCAGAATTTTCCGCTAGGAGTGGCTGAGCCCTATGGTGAATTCAAAATACGCCTCCCGGACACGGCGCGCTCAGCGCTCACGCGAGCGGCCGCCGCGTCCCTGCGCGCCGCGCCGGCGGCAGCGGCTCGGAGTTCCCGGTGGTCCGACGTGTCCCGGCCCCCTCCCCGGGGCAGCTGGGGGCCTCCTCCCGCCGGGGGCTGCGGCCGATGGCCGGGAGATGTGCGGTGGGGCTCTCCGCCACCCACCTTCACTCTGACATCATTCAGATGGGGGGGGGGGGCAGCTGTGGGGACAGCCAACTGGCGGAGCAGCAACTGGGAGCCTCATCTCAGCAAGGTGTTGATTTCTTTACGAGTGTCGGGTCAGTGAGCGGATAGTTTCGGTAGGTATCGCCTGCATACCGCGTCACTGTGCGCTGACACCGCCCCCCTGTGTTCCGCCACCAGGTGGTACCAGCTGCACAGCAAGCCCGACAAGAAGGACACCAAGAAGCGCGGTGAGCTGGAGGTGCGTGTCCAGTTCGTGGTGCGCGCGGCGCCGTCCGCCAGCACCGCGGACCTGGCCGCCGAGAAGCAGAAGGGGCGCGGGTCGCTGCTCAGCCTGCCCAAGGTGTCCGGCTCACTGGGAGGCAGCCTCACCAGCCTGGCGCACAAGAAGAAGTCGCTGAAGAAGCTGGCTGCCTCGGTCGGTGAGTGGCCGGGGCGCCGTGAGGGGGACTGGGGCGGGGCGGCGGATCCGGGGTGGGGGACAGGGCGCCGTGAGGGGACTGGGGCAGGGTGGCGGGTGGGGGTGAGGGACAGGGCGCCGTGAGGGGGCTGGGGCAGGGTGGCGGGTGGGGGTGAGGGACAGGACGTCAGGCCAGGTGCTGACAGCGGGGTCGGCGTAACAGGGACAGGGACTGACCGGCGGTCACGTGACAGCGGCGATCGGTGAGGGCGGACCCAGCAGGAGTTTGTCCCTCACCACTGGGTGGCCCGGCTGTGCCGCCGGAGAACCCCGGTCATCCGCCGGCACTCGAGTAATCCACATGGACCGAAACAGCCCAACCAAAACGAATGAAACCAACAGCATGACGTTCTTAGCCATGCAGCCGGGGAAAGTTTCTCTTTGAAAATATTTTTTGTATTCCCTAGTCCCATGGTCCCTTGCATTTTGTACGATCGTTTGTCCATATGTTCGGTGCACTAGTGTGCGAGGTCAGCGTTTGTCGCCCCCCCTGCCCTGGGGACCTGGACCGGCTTGGATCCCCAGGGAGACCATAGCGTCCCCCAGAGGCAGGCCGCCTGGCTCGCTGGCCTTCTGGGAACCGGGGCCCGAATGCGGGCGCAGTGCGCCGCACCGCGCTTCCTTCCTCCGGTGCCGGTGAATGCGATCCGATTGCATCTGGCGCTGGACGCTGCTGGCACCAGTCGTCCCCGGAAATCCCACTCGGACGCTCACTTCAGTTCACGCTAATTCGATGACTATTCCGAGGGTAAATTGGGACCACTATTTTTGTCCCTGTCGGTTTGTCGTCATTATCTTGCATTATGGGATGGTGAAACTCACCGGGACATTTTTAGAAATTGTGCCAGAAATGGGATGATTCAGGATTTGTTTTCATTGATCGGGCAATATAAAATTGTTTGACGCACATGGACTGATGGTATTGTTTGGCGTTTTCCGCGCCCGGCCGCCGGACCTGGGTGTGGACTGTGGAGCGGTCACCATCTCCGGCCAGGGGGTGAGTCACCGGGTGCCGCGCCGTGTCGCCCCGTGCCGGGTACTCCGTGTCAGTGAGCGCTGAGCGCTGCTCGGGTCGGTCAGACGGTCAGGGGAGGGTCGGCCGTGTCCCCGACCTCGGCAGCCGCCACCTCGTGTCCACGCACTCATTGAACCGCGGCCGGGCGGGCAGCGGTCCCACTGCGCCCTTCCATCCACCCAGACTGTCCCACACGGCCCCGCCCAGACTGTCCCACACGGCCCCGCCGGTGTCCCACACTTCCCCGCCCAGACTGTCCCACCCCCACCCAGACTGTCCCACACGGCCCCGCCCAGACTGTCCCACACGGCCCCGCCCAGACTGTCCCACACGGCCCCGCCGGTGTCCCACACGGCCCCGCCCAGACTGTCCCACACGGCCCCGCCCAGACTGTCCAACACGGCCCCGCCCAGACTGTCCCACACGGCCCCGCCCAGACTGTCCCACACGGCCCCGCCCAGACCGTCCCACACGGCCCCGCCCAGACTGTCCCACACGGCCCCGCCCAGACTGTCCCACACAGCCCCACCCAGACTGTCCCACACGGCCCCGCCGGCTGTCCCACACGACACGACCCGCACCCCTGGTGGGACACGTCCCCCGCGGCCTGACACGCACCCCCGCCCACCCACTCTGGAATGTCGGGGGTGGCCAGCCGGCGTGAGAAGCCGGTCTTGGTTTTGTCGGGCCGTGCCTGCGTGGGTGTCGTGCCGCGCTGCTGATCGGCTAGATGATGGGGATTGACGTGTTTGTACAGACGCAGTGTGAGTGATCGACATCAGGTATATGGTGCAGGATAAATCAGTGCCGTAACAGAGACGGATTTGGCACCTGGCATCCGCGCTGGCAATTCTTGGCGGCTGGAACCCAACGAACTTTAACTACGAGCTACTAAGGGACTTTTTGTCTGATTTTGCTTTGACGCTGATTCAGAATGTTGGGTCATCTGCTCCCACATTTGCTAATGGTTATCGTGTAGCACACGCCGTTGGATTCGACTAGGTAGCTAATCATTTATATTTCCTTTCCTTTCGGAAGATGTGCCGTGTTTGAAAAGTTTATAACGCTTTCGGCACGAGTTATGATGCATTATCCCCAGGTTACCGTACGGCAGTCGAAGTGCTAGGTGGCCGTAGAGCCAGTGTGCGCACAAATGTTTATTTCACTTGCATTCAAAATTATTATGTTTATCAATTATCATTGATCATGCATATGCATAAGATGGTATTGTATTTGCGCGGATTTCAATGTTATTGACTCGAGGCTAGGTATCCCCAGTGATGTGTCAGTAGTCCGTAGTTATTAGCAAAATAATTTTAACACTAACTAGAGCATGCTCCTACTGGTCTTGATTAACCTGAAGTGGAAAACTGCACCCTGCTGTGTACATATTGTGACTGTGCTAGTTTTAGCGTATGCATCGTCGTTAGGGGAAACGGACCGGATTTCTTCCCCGTACGATATTTGGTGGATTAAGTGCAGTTGTGGACAAGTTTCACGCGTCTGTTGCTGATTCAAAGTACTCGGTCTGTCTGACCTTTGACCCTGACAGGTCACCTGGTGGCCGAGCTCGCAGTAGACCTGGCCTGACCTGATACCGGACCCTGACCTGGGCAGGTCACCTGGTGGCCGGGCTCGCAGTAGACCTGGCCTGATCTGATACCGGACCCTGATCTGGGCAGGTCACAAGGTGGCCAAGGCGGGCGGCTGGCGGATCTGACCTGACCTGACCTGACCTCTGTTCCGGCAGGTCACAAGGTGGCCAAGGCGGGCGGGCGGCCGGTGGCGAGGTGTACCTGACCTGACCTGACCTGAACTGACCTGAACTGACCTGACCTGACCTGATCTTACCTGACCTGACCTCACCTCTGTCCCGGCAGGTCACAAGGTGGCCAAGGCGGGCGGCCGGCGGCGCGGCAGCTCGCCGCGCGCCGGCAGCGAGGCCGGCTCGGACGTGGGCAGCGAGCTCGGCTGGGACGACGGCGCCTCGAGCAACGCCGACCCGGGCGTCATTTCTGAGGGCGAGGAGGACATGTTCGGGGTGAGCGCGCGCGCCCGTCCCGCCCCGCCCCGCCCCGCCCCGCCCCGCCCCGCCCCGCCCGGCGGGCACGGCGAGCCAAACGCGGCGCCTCATTAGCCTAGCCGGCCGTCCAGCCAGGAACTGGCCGCGCCGGCCGGCCAGCCGCGTGCCCGCACAACTCTGACAAGTTGCGGCCGGCCGCTGGGGCGCGGCTAATGTGTGTGTTATTCTTTGGCGGCTGGCCGCGGCTCGGTCCGCTGTGGCCGTGGGAAGGCTCCGCTGCCGGCCGGCCGCCGTCCCTAGTTACCGGTCATTAGGGAGAGCGCCGGCGGCGGACAGCTGACCACCGACTGCTGACTGCTGGCCGCTGACGACTGACCGCTGACCACTGACCGCTGACCACTGACCACTAACTACTGACCGCTGACTACTGACCGCTGACCATCGACGACTGGCCGCTGAGTCGCTGACCGCTGACTGCTGACTGCTGACTGCTGACCGCCGACTACTGACCGCTGACCACCGACTTCTGACCCGCTGACCGCCGGCTCTCTGTTGCAGTTTGATGACGACCACGTGGGCCGCGGGCGCTCGAGGACCCCGGAGCTGTCCGGCCGCGTCCAGCTCAGAGGTGCGTGTCGAACCGTGCCCCGTTCCCTCCCCTCCCCTCCCCTGCCGGGGCTGTCCGGCCGTGTCCAGCCCAGAAGTGTTCCCCGCTTCCTCTAACCTGCCCCGCGGCGGCCCTTTGGGAGTCAGCACAACACTTCTGGAGCAGGGTGGCTACGGTACAGACCATATTCTGGCAGTGTGTTACATGCCTCGCCACCGGCCCGGGCCAAATCTCCTTCGAGAGCTTTGGAAAGTGGCTGAAACCCAGTCCTGTAGCCCCAGTCCTGAAGCGCCTACAGACCCTCCTTTGACACCCGATCCTGTAGCGCTGACAGACCCCGGAGAAGTGCGGGAGCTCCACCTAGTGCCGCCCGCCCGGGATGATACGGTGTTCACAGCTCTGTCCACAGACCGTCCCAGACTTCCCGTCTCAGACTTCCCTGTAGGCGCCTCAGTCGCAGTTCAGTCCGTCGCAACAAAGCCCAGCCCACCCAGGCGTGTTTCTGTATAGCTGAATATGATTACCATCTGTTAACTTCTCCAATAATCAGGGTCAGTGTGTTCAAAAAGCAGTAAGGATTCACAAGGTCAGGTTCTCCGCCGTTCTGACACTGACACTGCGGCTCCGATCGCCGTGAAAGGGCCCCTGTTTCCCACAGGATAGACGAATTTCACAAATCACAGCTCCCGCTGTATCGACACTTCAGTGTAACGTAAAATATGGGTGCAATGTAACACAGTCACTTCAGAGTGCTGTGCTACAGTCTGGTGCGCTATAAAGCCTGGGTACAGTGTAACCGAGCCACTTAACACGGTGCTGTGATACACTCTCGCGCGCCGTAAAGTATGGGTGCAGTATGTATAACACAGTCACTTCAGAGTGCTCTCGGGCAGTCGTATGCGCCGCTGAATATGGGTGCATTATAACCCAGTCCCTTCAGGGGGACAGTGCCAATGCATCCCGGATGCCGCCCTGACCTTTGAGCACTGCAGCACTGTGAGGGGAGGTGGGCGCCGCTGGTCTGCCCCCTGGGCCGTCCCCCGCTATCAGCTGCCTCCTCAACCGGGACGGGCCCTGGAGGCGCCGCCGGAGACCAGCCTCTGTTGTGTAACGCCTCCTTTTCTGCGGCTCCGGTGTCGGCCCCGGCTATCTTACGCTCACAACCTCTGTAACCGCCCGGGCTGTGACGCTCACGACCTCTGCGAACGCCCCGGACCGTGACGCGGACGGCTAAGGACCGATGGCTGCGGAATGTCCTCAGAGTCTATCAGCCGGACATTTATAGTAGCCGGAGGGGCGACCCGACTGCCGCCTTCCCCGTACTGATCCGCCCCCTCCGGCCTCCCCTCCCCTCGCCTATCGCGCTGACCTCAGCTGCCGCCCCGGAGCGCAGCACCTGGTGTAAGACCCGGCACCGTCTCATCATCAGCGGCGGCCCCTCGCCCTGCCCGCGCCGGGCTGTGCCGGATTTAGCTCCCTGTTTACATTTCCGTCCAAGGAGGTCCTGTTTGGCTCAGTGTATTGTGTCACATCCGTGTCAATAGTTTGCTGTCCGCGATAGTGCCGATACTGCAATCGCCCGCCGGTCGGATTGCCAAGCTTTGCGTACGCTCTGCTGACGTCGGCTGCGGCCGGCGGTGTGACGCTATCGGTGACGTCCTGTGACGCGCTGTTCGGGGCCGGCAGCTCCCGTGGACGAGACGCCGCTGTCGTCCCTCTCGAGCTCCGTGCAGTCGGGCCTCAGCGACCTGGCTCACGGCGCCACCTATGACGAGGCGGCAGTTCGGGCGGAGCCCGTGGTGGCGCCCAGCCCGCTGGCGGCCGACCGTGAGTAGAGCGCTGGAGCGGGGGGGGGGGGGGGGGGGATCGGCCGACCGTGAGTACAGCTGGAGCGGGCCGGCTCCCCACGGAGCGGGTGGATGGGAGAGCCGGTCTCCGCCCTGCTGACCAGGGTGGGGTCCAGTGGCGCGGGAACCGGGGGGGGGGGCTAGCGGGGGCTGAGTCCCCCAACTTTTTGGCTGGGGGGGGGGGGGCTCGTAATGTATTTGAGCCCCCCAGCTGGAGGAATCGAAATCGGAAATCTACCAACATAATTTCATAGATTCATGCATAGGCGCGGGAACCGAGGGAGGGGGCAGTGGGGGAAGCTTGCCCCCACAACTTTTCATGAGGCCAGGAACCGTTGGGCAGCTTGTCCTCCCCAAATTAGGGGTTGTGGGTCACAAAGGAAGAAAGCATGTAAGTGAAAAATCCACCTCTCTCACTGGCTCGGCAACTCATTTGGCAGATTAAAACCTTTATTCCAGGTTACCAAAACGGTAGTTTCTTCGCTCAACTGAGACGGAATGCCTCACTTTTTTTGCAAATATTTTCTTCTTTTTTGTTGTTGAAAAGGCCAAGGTCTGAAAAATAAGTGGCCTAAAACCGGTGAGAAAACTAGATTTGGGGGTACCCTAGTTTGATCTCTATTATGGTTCAGCCCCCCCCCCCAGTCTGGAAGAAGTTCCCGCGCCACTGTTGGGGTCATATCACTGCTGGGTATCTAACGTACCGAGCCGGAGCTGGCTGCCGGGCGGTGTACTGTTTGTGGTACTGGAGAGGCGAGGGGGTGGGTGAGCTTCGATAAGAGGTCTAATTGGTCTGGCTTATTTTGGGGAAGTGTACGAACTGTGTCAGTCACGGTGGCGAAACTGTATGAAACAGACTATTGGGTTCAGGTAGGTTTTAAAAAAGTAAGCCATGCTGAAACGAACCATTTTATGATATTGTCAAGGTCCGGTTTTCCATGCCTTGTAACTAATTCAAGAATTGTTGTCGTTTGTGGTGCCATTGTGTTGCCTTGTAAAATATTCGGTTGAATTTATTTTCGAATGGTTAGGTTTTGAAAGTGACATAACCTGCCGTCAAGTTGAAGGTCCTTTTAAATTGAAACCTATTGACCATTTCAATCCCTTTTGAATGTGAACATTTGCTGAACGGGGCTGTCCCAGTGCAGTAACCCGGTTTCCCGGGCAGTCCCAGCGCAGTGCCGCGGCGCGCTGCTCCTCTGAACAGCACAGTGCCGCGGCGCGCTGCTCCTCTGAACAGCACAGTGCCGCGGCGCGCTGCTCCTCTGAACAGCGCAGTGACCCGGCTCCCCGGGCAGTCCCAGCACAGTGACTCGGCGCGCTGTACCGCTGAACAGCACAGTGACGGCGCGACTCTCGGTTCCAGCGGCGGTGGAGGAGCCGTCGCGGGGCGGCTGGGCCGGCAGCGCCCGCTCGTCGGGCCGGCTGCCTCCAGCCCAGAGTCCTCTCACGGCCCAGACCGCGGCGGCCGAGCCTTCGGGCGGCGCGGAACGGGAGGCCGCCAAACCGCCCCCCGGAGCCCCGAGCAGCCCTCGCGAGTCTCGGCGGAAGGCCGCGGCGCCGGCCCCGCCCGCCGGCGCCCCCGGGCCGGGGCTGGAGCCGGTGCCGGATCCGGCGGCGGCGCGGCCGGAGAGGAAGGAGGAAGGTGTGCCGGCGCCGCGGGAGCCGCCGCCGGCGCCGCGCCAGTCACCCAGTGAGCCGGCGGAGGACGCCGCGCGCCGGGACGCCGGGCAGGACGCCATGTTCGGGAGCCGACCGGCGCCGAGCAGAGGGGAGCCGCCGCAGCTGACGCCGCCAGGTGAGTGGCCGGGGAGACGGGGGTCCGGCTGACTGGGCGACCCAGCGGCTCCTGTCACTGTCACGGCACAGCGCGTGATGTCCGCCGCTTTTGTCTGTCACGGGGAACGGTACGGCGGCCGCAGCAGTTCGTGACTGCCCTTCACCCGGACCTGAGTACACCGTGTGGCCGGGCTGTGTTTGAGCTGGCGAGAGTCGCCGCTGGCTGTTTCTATGGCGCGGGCCCGGGACACGCGGCCGGCCGCTCAGAGACAGCGGCTGCACGCCACTGGCAGGAAAACGGGGGGGGGGGGGGGGAGCGTCGCCGGCTCCCCGCTGCGCCGGCCGGCCGAGCAGAACAATGGCAGACAGTTAGCCGGCTCACTATTTACCGGTGACTCCGCTGCCGGGCGCACACGCAAACCGGGCGTCAATGAGGGTGAGTCAGCGGACCCGTGACGGCGCGTTTTCAGTCAGATTTTGTCAGACGCGACTACATCTCCTCTGAAGAGTGTGGTTGGATGACTAGGTTATTTACTACAAACATTTTCACTCACTCACTCTGGACTCTGCAGCCTGCCAGTCAGTGAATGGGCGGAAATGAACTGTGACAATGGCTCTTTGTTTTCTATCTGTAAGGACAGTCACCCTTCAGATGACATGCTGGAAATCCGAATAGGCCGTACTGATAAAGATAGATGGTGCTGCTCCGCTCCCATATACAGGGTGTCCGGAAATTATTTGCCCCTTGTTCATTCAGCTATAATCCCACCGTGCGCTTTAAGAACTGTTGAAAATTTGCTAAGACCATGCCTCAGGCTATCCACAACTGTCCGTTAGTCACATGACCTAACCCGGTCACCTGACCTTGACACTTGTGAGGCGCCAGGGGCCAGTGTTTGGCAGGCGTGACTCGCACCTAAACGTGTTGTCTACCAGGAAGAAAGAAACTCTTTGACAAAGTGTCATCGCGCTGAAGTTATGGTAAAGACTGGAATGAAGTAGGAAGTCAAACAGAATCCTCTGTCCTAATCCCAATCGAAATCCCATGGGGAATCATGAACGAAGAACTCATCCAGATTGAACCAGGTCCCACAGAAAACGGACTTTAGAGGAACCTGTGAAAGGTGTGCCTGCACATCAGCACAGATACTCTGGACATCTTGATCCATGGAATACCAATGCGGATGAGGGAATGGGTATGACAGGGCAGGGGATAAATCGGTAAATAAACCATGACCCTGTGGCTCTTTGTTTATTAATTATGGCAGCGAGTTGATGGAGCGGCAAATAATTTCCGGACACCCTGTAGTTATGTGCCTTCAACTCTTGCCTGCGTTTTTTAGAAATGCTCCTGAACTATTGCTCTCAATGTATCCACGGAAAATAACATCGCCCAATATTTTCGTCACGTGTCGACAAGGACAGCTTCTGGAAACATTACTAGCCTTTGGTCCATCTCCATTTAGATCCGATGGGTCTGGGTGGGTCTGTATAACAGCAGTCACGGCCGCTCCGGCCCGCCGTCCAAATATAAACCGGTGTGATATATGAGCCACAGTTCCGCCCTTATCCGGACAGGGGCCGGGTCTTTGTCGATCGAACGATGACATAGACACAGGTTATCAAAACAACCGGCGTCGGTATACGATTCTGAACACCCAGCGTCTATTGTTTCGCTGATGTGTTGATCAGTGATAACCAACTGGTAGGAATTTCCTTATTGTGCTCCGAAGGTCACCTGTATATGTACTGGTTTGTGACATCGTTCTGCAATTTGACGCTTTGAGGCACACCAGTGGGAAGCTGTGAGACGTGGTTACTGTTTGATCACAGTTGTGTGACGTGTGTTGTGCAGATTGGCGTGTCCCCGTATCGCGCTGTCCCATTGTCCTGCCCCAGTGTCCCTGTCCCGTCTCAGCGTCACACCCCGTCTCGGTGTCGCGCTCCGTCCCGCTGACCGCCCCCCCTCCCCTCCGCAGGTACCGGGGACGCGGAGCCGGGCCGCTCGGCGCGCGGTGCCAGTGCCCGGCTGTCGGGTCGGCTACGGCCGGCTGAGTCAGGGGCCAGGTCAGCCGACCCGCCGCCCGGTCACCCCACCGCCGACACCGACCGAAAGGGACAGGTCGGCGACAACCCCTTCGACGAGCCGCAGAACCCCTTCGACGAGACGGAGAAAAGTCCTCCAGACGAGGACGACAAAAATCCCTTCAGCGAACCGGATAGAAATCCATTCGACGAGCCCGAGAAGGGCGGGTTTGCGGAGCCCGAGCGGCCGCCGGCCAGCGAGCCGGGCAACAACCCGTTCGAGGATGCCAGCGGTAACCCGTTCGATGAGCCGGATGAAGAGTTTGCGGTGGAGGTGCTCGGGGCAGACGAGGACGCCAAACTACCCAAGGAAAAGACAAGAAAACGCGACAAAATCGGCAAAATGTTCCGGGGCCTCAAATCCAAGAAGGATGATGGTGAACAAGGGGATAAGAAGCAGAAGAAAATCTCGCAGGGTAAGGCTGTTTTTATTACATTTAGTACTTAACATACCCTGAGAGTGGATTAGAAGATCAGGTTGTATTTGCCAGTTTTCTTAAGTAAGAAAATGTAGAATAAAATTATCGGGAGCAGTTACATAATCTGAATTTAACGGCATATTATCTTTGCTAGAATCTAGTGGAGATTGGCTTAGTTGATGTAGCCGGTATTTACCAGTCGGGGCTGACCACGTTATTTTACCATCCCTGACCGCTCAGACCTGTACCAGGTGGCCGCCCACCCCGGCCGGTGCCCCGACGGGCTGCAGTGTCGTCAGACCCCGCCGGTTTCCCGCCTGACCGTCTGACCGGCCCGGCGCCGCCGTGTTCCAGCGGCCGAGGAGGCGCCCGGCGGTGACGCCGCTGCGGCGCCCTCTCTGCGCTCGGTGCAGACGTGGGCTGGCGGCGCGCTGCCCGCCGCCGCCGACGAGCCGCCCCCGCCGCCGCCGCCGCCCATACCGGAGGAGGACGGGGAGAGGACGGTGACGCCGCAGCGGGAGGCCTCCGGCCGCTCTGCCGGACTCAAGGAGCGCTTCAAGAAGCGCGAGCGGACGGAGAAGGCGGCCGGCGCGCCGAGCCGCAGGACGCCCCAGATACTGCGCAAGGCGGGCAACTCGCCGGGCGGCGACCCCACGGAGCGGGCGCGCCGCCAGACCGCGCTGCCTCGCAGTGAGTTTAGTAGGTGTAACTCACCGCCAGAAGTGAGTTAAGGGGGGGGGGGGGGTCCGCCAGACCGCGCTACTACGGAGCGAGTTAACGGTGGTATAACGCCTTGGCTCTTCTATTCATTTGGAACAGCTGTGTCAAATTGTTTGTAATCAACGTTTGTGAACAGTTGTCCACATTATGATGCTCGAATTCCACGGAGGGAGCAGGACCATCAAGCAACTAATCCTGATCCATGAAAATCCATCTCCCGTTGGGTGCCCACTGCTCGTTGGGTCTCGGCGTAATCAGCCCAGTCACCGCTATTGCTATTTTGAACGGAACACTTTTAACAACCGGCTCCCTCCCCGGCAACTCTGTGGCTGACTGACCTGACCCCTGACCCCCTCCCCGGCAACTGTGTGGCTGACTGACCCCTGAACCCTCCCAGGCGACTCTGGACTGATTACCTACTGACCCCTGTCCCCTCCCAGTGCTTATATCTGACCCCTGTCCCCCTTCCAGGTGACTTTGGCTGACTGACCCCTGCTCCCTCCCAGGTGACTCTGGACTGAGTACTGACCCCCCGTCCCCTCCCAGGCGACTCTGGACTGACCCCCGTTCCCTCCCAGGCGACTCGGTGCCCCTGCTGCGGATGTCTGCCGACGCCGACTGGCCGCGGGTGGTGGAGGGCGGCAACGAGCGGCTGGCGGACGCCGGCCGAGAGCCGCACGGCCCCTACGACGGCGTGTCGCGCGAGCGACTCGTCCAGATGGTCACCGAACTGCAGCGGGAGCTGCGCCAGGCCAGCGACGAGCTCAAACAGTCGCGCGCCCAGGTGGGTGGGGGAGGGGACGGGCGCTGTGCGAGGGGAGGGTGGGGTTGAGAGGGAAGTGGGCAGGAACTGTCTGGGAATGGAGGCGTGGGACTGAGATGGATGGCACTGGTAACATCTGTCAGATATAGACGTTGAACCGCGTATTGCAATGGGACATGCAGACAGTTGGAACGTTTGCCATCGATATGTGAAACGCAAGCGAATGCAAGCTGATTGGGCGTGCATACGGCAGCTTTCCCTGCCTTTTGCCTAACTACGAGTTGGTACATAGCGCCAGTCTGCCTTTGCCTGACTCGTTTGTGTTTGTGTTCTCTTCCATGGTGTATTACTGTCTTCTGTATCCTGCTCAACCCCTCTATACGCTCTGTATTACGCTGTCGTTTCGCGCCAGCCCCAGGAGATGTCGTCTATTCTCCCTGTTCACCCTCTGCTCTCGGCTCCACAGACGCAGGAGATGGAGTCGTACCTGTTTGACCTGCTGGTGCGGGTCATGGAGACGTGTCCGGAGCTGCTGCAGAGCCCCACCAAGCCGGCGCCCGCCGCCGCCTCGGCAAAGTACGGACCGCGCGCCACCTAACCACCCGCCGCACAGCGGAGCGCGGCGGAGCACGGCAGCACGGCACGGAGCGCGGCACGGAGCGCGGAGCACGGCACGGAGCGCGGCAGCACGGCACGGAGCACGACACGGAGCGCGGAGCACGGCACGGAGCGCGGCAGCACGGCATGGAGCGCGGCACGGAGCCCTTCTGGCATGGTCTGTCAGCGGGGAGCTCTCTCTCGGTCCGAGCTTTGGTCGTGAGAAGCGCAGCCCCCGTGCTCCAGCGCTCCCCGGATAGAGCGCGGAGGAAGGGAGAGGCGCGCACGGTGGCGGCCTGAGGAATGGTGCGGGCTCGGTGTGGCTATCTTAGTGGCATTGCTAGGCATTATGCGTTGTTAGTATCTTTATTTTGTCGCGATGCACGTTGTGCCATATTCCAAACCAGCACTGTTATGTGAATGTTGTGTACGTGCCATATCCATAGACAGACTGCACTGCCGGCGGTGCCTGCTCGACTGCCGTGCCTCCCTTCCTTCGTAGCTGTGTTTCTGTTTGGTTTGTGTTTGGTTTCTCCCTCTACAACGCTCTACGCTGTGCTGTGGTTTGGTCACACCTCTGTGTCGCACGGTCTGCACGGTTCGTCTCAATGTTCTTCCTCCTGAGCCCTGTCGGCACCGCACCTCACCATTTAGCTGTTCCCCGCACCATCCTTCGCACTGGTCTGAGGGCGGCGGCACGCCCGTCACCCCCTCCCCCGCCCCGCCCCACCGAGCGGGTAGTGACATACCCGTCACCGTGTACCAGAGCCGTTTGTTGTTGCTGTTGGCCCGACCGAGATGCCCTCCCTCGTCACCCCTCCCCCTGTACTGGGCGGTTTTCAGCGCCCCCCCCCCCCCTGTCAGCCTGTACTGGTGCCGTTGATTGTTGCTGTTGGCCGGGCGCTGCCCAGTGGGGTTCGTTGGGGAAGCTAGGTGCGACTGGCAGCCTCTGATTGTTTGGGAACGGCGCGGTCCGAACGCTAAACACTGCACAGGCCGCGAAATCAGTCCTTATTAGGCGCGACGCCGCTCGTTTATCCAATTGAAACGGCATCACAGACCCTAATGGCATTTGCCTCGTAAATTAATCTCGCTTGCCGCCTTGACTCTCCGCGGTGTTGCTGCTGACGGTTTGTTAATGACACTGATCTCTGTGGCGCTGTGCCGCGGCTCCTGGAACATCCCCCCTCCCCCCCCTCTGGACCAGACCCTGCCGGTGGGGCCCGTCCATCCGCACTGCTCCGGATCAGTCTGGATCTGTCCGGTCCGGCCCGGCCCGGCCCGGCGGTCAGTGTGCAGTGTCGATCGGCCGCCGGCCCGTGCCGGTCCCACGGCGGCCACCGGGTCTGTCTGGCCGTGCTCCGTGCTGGGCTGAGCGGCGGTCCCCCCGGCCCGGCCGGCGGCCCCCGGGGACTGGGGAGGGCGCAGCACCACTCAGCAGTCACCTCGGACGGCCTCGGCCCGCTGACTCAGCGGTATGTGGCGGTCACCGCGCGGCCTCTGACGCGTCCCGCTGTACCGCGGTGACCGGCGGGCGGCTGGACTGTGTAACACGCCGCGCGTCCCGCCCCGCCGCTGTGTAACACGCCGCGCGCCCCGCCCCGCCGCTGTGTAACACGCCGCGCGCCCCGCCCCGCCGCTGTGACCGGCGGGCGGCTGGACGCTGTGTAACACGCCGCGCGTCCCGCCCCGCCGCGGTGGCCGGCGGGCGGCTGGACGCGTCCCCGGCGCCGGACCGTCACTACCGTCCGGGGGAACTGGGTGCACCGTGCTGTACCCCGGGGGACTGGGTGTACCTGATGTACCCCCGGGGACTGGGTGTGCCGTGCTGTACCCTCCCGGGGGACTGGGTGTACCGTGCTGTACCCCGGGGGCTGGTTGTACCGTGCCGTACCCCGGTGGACTGGGTGTACCGTGCTGTACCCCTCCCGGGGACCGGGTGTACCGTGCTGTACCCCGGGGGACTGGGTGTACCTGATGTACCCCCGGGGGACCGGGTGTACTACTACCGACCCTGTGACTCCCCGGTACCGAGTGTGACAGTCCTGTATTTACCCCGGGGACTGGGTGTTCGCGGCTGACGGTGGCCTAATTGCAGCGGCAGCGCGGTGACTCTGGACCCGGCCTCCGCCTGTCGGCTCATCTGAGGTCGCCGGGAGTCAGCTGAGGTCACTAGAGGTCATCTGAGGTCGCCGGGGGTCAGCTGAGGTCACCAGAGGTCATCTGAGGTCGCCGGGGGTCAGCTGAGGTCACCAGAGGTCAGCTGAGGTCACCAGAGGTCAACTGAGGTCACTGGAGAGCAGTGTGTGCCGCGACTGGCGGGACCGGTCCGGCGGTCGGAGCCGGGCGCCCTCTGAGCTGCTGAGCCTCAGCAGCTGAGGTGGCCCCTGGCCGTCCCCTCCGCCGTCTCTGCTGGCTGCTGACCGTCCGTTCCGCCGCTGACTGCGCCGGCTGCTGAGCGGGCTCCGGCCCGGAACCGGCCGCCGCCGGACCCTCCGGCCCGCCTCCTGTCGCCGGAGTCCGGCGGCGCGGGCTGGTGTGTGTCCGCGGCGGCGGTCAGCACACGCCGTCCCCGGAGACCCTGCGTTCCACACACGCCGTCCCCGGGGACTCTGCGTTCTACACATGCCGCAGTCGTGCCGCCTCTGTGGGCTCCCCGTCGGCCGCCGCCCTGGCGGTCCGTCTGCTGACCGTAGTGCTCCGCTGTGGGCCGTTGTACGCCCGCTGTCGGACTTTTGTACGCCCACTGTCGGACTTTTGTACGCCCGCTGTCGGCCGTTGTACGCCCGCTGTCGGCCGTTGTACGCCCGCTGTCGGACTTTTGTACGCCCACTGTCGGCTGTTGTACGCCCGCTGTCGGCCGTTGTACGCCCGCTGTCGGCCGTTGTACGCCCGCTGTCGGCCGTTGTACGCCCGCTGTCGGCCGTTGTACGCCCGCTGTCGGCCGTTGTTGTACGCCCACTGTCGGCTGTTGTACGCCCGCTGTCGGCTGTTGTACGCCCGCTGTCGGCTGTTGTACGCCCGCTGTCGGCTGTTGTACGCCCGCTGTCGGCTGGTGTACGCCCGCTGTCGGCTGGTGTACGCCCGCTGTCAGCTGGTGTACGTCCGCTGTCGGCTGGTGTACGCCCGCTGTCAGCTGTTGTACGCCCGCTGTCTTCCCGCAGCTGTGTGTAGTGGCGCGGCCGTCCGCTCAGATCCCCAGCCGTGACGGTCCGCTGTGCTGATGGCGGTCCGCGCCGCGCCTCCTGTGGGCGGTCCGAGTGGGTGAGCTGCCATTCACTCTCCACCCGAGTGGCAGCCTCCGTCACCTGCCGGTGCCCTCTCTCTCCCCGTCTACCGTCGCCGTCTTCCATCCTGGCCCGCTCCGGCGGCGCGCCAGCCGTCTCTGCCTGTCTCTGTCTCTGTCTGTTTGTCCGTGTCGTCTCTGTCTCTGTCTCTACCTGCGTCTTTGTCTCTTCCCTGTCTCCGTGTCCATGTAAACCCTGCCGCTCGGCTGGGGAGGGCCGGCAGTGTGTCGAGCCGAAGAGCGCGGTCTCTACTGACTTCCACAGTCTGATCTGTGGTCTCTCACCGCCGCTCACAGTCCGGTCTGTGGCTGTGGTCTGTTATTGTCTCCCACAGTGTGTGGGGCCAGGCGGTCCCACACTCTGCTCGGTCCCGGGGCAAGTCTTGACTCTCTAAATCTGCTGGGTCCCGTCCCGGGGCAGGCGTTGCCTCTCTAAGTCTGCTCAGTCCCGGTGGGGGCGTTGCCTCTCGTAAGTCTGCTCGGCCCCGGTGGGGGTGTTGCCTCTAAGTCTACTCAGTCCCGTCCCGGTGAGGGTGTTGCCTCTCTAAGTCTGCTCGGTCCCGTCCCGGTGAATGTATGACCCTCACCTCGCTCTGGGGACGGGGCCGGGAGAGGGGACGGGAACGGGACTGCTGACGCTGCGCTTCCATGAGCTTCTGGTGAAGGGGGGTGACTCGGGCCAGTCGTACACGAATTGATGTGTTTCGGTGCCTTGGGGTGTTGGGAAGGGTCCGGTGGTGACTCGCGGAGTATTGATCGGCGCCAGTGTGTGTGAGTACCTGAGCTGCGGGCCTCTGTGTACACGGGTGTGTCGATACACCCGCTGACCGGCGCACCCTCTGACCGAGCCTCCGGCGGGTGGTGGGGCTTTCTGCGGTCACAGGCGGGGCTCAGTGCTGCCAAATCTCCGCGGGCGGGGCCCGTTAGCGGGCTCACCGGGTGATGGGACGCCCGCGGCCGCCGGGTAGCGGTGCGCCGAGCGTCGCCTCATGTATAACTACCTGCTTCCGTGCTGCTGTGTGCGGGCTGACCGGCCCCCGCCTCCGTGCTGCTGTGTGCTGGCTGACCGGCCGGTCGGCCGCCCGCCTCCGTGCTGCTGTGGCAGCTGGTGAGACCTGGTGGGTCGGGGAGGGGAGACGCGGCCCGTGAGTGGAGGACACTCGCACTGTGCTGCTCGCCAAAGTACTTCAAAGACGTGGGAATGTCGAGCGGTCTAATTTCACACAGAGCTTTAGTTGTTGGTTGTTGGTAGATTAAATATTCTAGTTTATTTTTGTTGTTTTGAAATTATGCAGTTTTCGGTAGATATGTTTAGCGATGGCTTACGAAGTTTGGTATACGCATCTGGCGCCAAATGGCTGACTAGGTGCCGTAGTGATATGCTGTCGGATTTATTTTTCAATAACTTTATTGCCGGTGCTGGAATATGGTTATGCATTCTGCAGCTTGTGATAATTATATTGCATTTAGAGATCGCGCAGTTTACCTGCCAATATGCAAACACTGTCCCGTCTATCATGTATCCGTGGCTCATAATATCGCAGAGATCTGATCGATATGATTGGTTGTTAGGTACTTGGGTCATTTTTTGCACTTGTTATATTCGATTTGCGTCGTTTTCCGGTGGGGTAATATTAGATTCAGCTATTCTTGTTTCATGATAGCGTACTTAGTATGCACTTAATTTCATTAAACAGAATGCAATAGTAGATATGTGTATAATGTCGGTACTTACAACTTACAGGTAAATGCAGCCTCTGTTATTACCTAACGTGGTCAATATTTTATTGGCGTGGTGTGTTTAGGAGAACATTATTTGCGTGCACTGGGCTTTTGTGTTGGGAAGAGGTGAGGTCTCTGTTGAGCTTTTTGTGATTCTGTTATCCGGTCTGTAGATGGCACTTGTATCTGTGAAAAGAATGACGATTTATTAATTTTCGGCGTTGAATGGGACATCGTGCCGTCGAGGTTAGACAAATGATTTTGATGGGGTGTACAATGTAGGTACATGACATACATATGCGTTAAAGACTTGTTTGGCTGCCGATCTTTCAGCTTATTATTGGGTTTTATAGTTACGAATGCTTTAATGTCTACTTAACTAAATATTACGGTGTCTTTTGCATCAAGCTTGTCGTAACACAAAAGTTCGCACCCAAATATACATCTTGTGTTAATTGAACGGACGTGTTTTCCGTCCAAAGTCGTGCTCCACTTTGCCCCAGGTGACGCCATAATCCATCTATCCATTGGCGTCACCTGTTGGACAATGACCGTCTCCGGTCGGTTTTTTATCCGCGCGTACGAATATGTCTCAATGCTGGAGATCCTTCCGTGTGTTGCAGTGCGTAGCTCGGTGATTGGTATTCTGTGATTTGATGCGCGGTGTAGCGTGCCGCTCTCATCAACCGCGCGTGTGTCGGGGTGCTCCCGCCGGGCGGCACGTGCTCCCACCGGGCGGCCTGTGCTCCCGGGGGGGGGGGGGGGGGCTGTGCAGTGTGCTCCCGGCGGGCGGCCACTGCCCTCCCGGGGGCGGCCCGTGCTCCCGGTGGGCGGCCACGTGCTCCCGGGGGCGACCCGTGCTCTGCAGTCGCCGACGGAGGTTTGAGTACCGCCTGTACCGTTTGTGTAGCGCTGACCTCGGGTGCCTAATACACTGCAGCCTTGGACGACCGACTTTGACTGGTGCCTAGTACACTGCAGCCTCGAACGTCTGACTGCAGCCTCGAACGTCTGACTGGTGCCTAATACCTGCACTGTATAGCCTCGGACCTCTGACGGGTGCCTAATACACTGCAGCCTTGGACGACCGACTCTGACTGGTGCCTAGTACACTGCAGCCTCGGACCTCTGACTGGTGCCTAATACGCTGCAGCCTCGAACGTCTGACGGGTGCCTACGCTGCAGCCTCGAACGTCTGACGGGTGCCTAATACACTGCAGCCTCGGACTGCCCAGGCCGTGTCTACTCGAAGCTGGTGCCTAATGCACTGCTGCCTCGGACAGCTGTCTCTGATTGGTTAGCTCTACGGCGCGGCACTCGTTTTGGCTATGACTGAGTTTCTCAGACTATGCATGGTTCCGATGAATCACATTGAAAAATAACATTGTCTCTTGGTAACCGTAAAAGCTGAAAAACTCAAAAGTAAGTAGGTTTCTGACTAATGAGTTCATCATAAGCTATGATATCGTAAATAGTTCGTTCATTACAAACCGGTTTCGTTTCACACAAGAAACAATCAGTGGTAGTTAGGTACACTTTACAAGTGACAGGGGTGACGGACAAAAAGAACGACAATAAATAGTCCATAGACCCGGGAACAGGGGGGGGGGGGGCAGCGGGGGCGCTTGCCCCCCCCCCAACTTGAGAGCCGAGGGGGCGGCGCCCCCTCAACATTGAGGCAGCGAGAAAGGATCTTTCCTCCCTTTTCCGAACTTTTTTCCTTCTTGTTTCCTTTATACATCTAAACATCAAGACACGGCATTTCCCTTGCCATCTGAATAGTTTCTGCTGATACAGTAACGATTTGACAACATCTGCTATTGTCATCCCGCTTTGGTTTGGGTCTGACCTTGGCCATAAGTTGACCATTTTGAGTTAACTTTGAGAAATACATAGCGTGCAACGGTGGTAAAATCGTTGCTATGGGTATAACACAGTTTACCCGCTCCGGGTGTGAGGGAGGGGTGTGGGGCAATGGGTGCACTGACGTGACGCCTCGGATGACCGGTATGGGATGCTCAGCGACACTAAGGGCTTGTCTGGTGCCTTCAGTTATCGGTAGCACCCTCAGAATCAACGGCGTAGGGTTCTCAGAGCCGACGGTAAGAGGCCTTTAGAGGCACTGGCGTGGGGCCGTTATGCAGGTGCCGGTGTGAGCGCTCAGAGGTGCTAGTGTGATTCTCTCAGAGGCGCCGGTGAGGGTCCTTACAAGCGTTGCAGTGGGCCCTCATAGACGCTGGCGTGGAGCCGTTACAGACGGGTGTGGGGCCTTTAGAGCTGCTGCCGTGAACCCTCTACAAGCCTGCAGGGGTTCTCAGTGACCGGCAAGGGGCCCTTAGGCTGGCAGAAGAAGTCCTGTGGGGTCCTTAGAGACCAGCATGGTACTGTCAGACCGGCGGTGCCCTCAGAGTCACCGGTGTGGGGCCCTCAAAAGTCACCAGTGGGTGGCCT